TGTGATGATCTTGTACATAGTGGTGATGTGCCAGCGGATACTATAGATGGCACTGTGCATATTGGAGTCATACTCTTTCTTGCTTTGGATATCACATGCCCTTGGTTGTCGACTCATAGATAAGTCGGGGATGAAAGCAATTGATCTCTATTATGAAGATTGTTATGAAACATTCTTGCGCGTAGGTCTGTTAGAAACTAAAAAGAAGATGGGCCTTGTTACCTTTGATGTGGACTTCCTAAAACCCAAAGCCTCCCAAGACAAGAAACATACAATTGTTTGAATATTGGACTCCTTTCTATAGAAGCACAAGATCTCTGACTGCAATGACATGAAGTTTATCTCTCTAATCACCACCTATACCAAAGCAGTGACCACATTGATAAGCATGCCGGGCTAGACAGTCAAGGAACATGCAAATATTATGCTATTCGATCCAATGGCATAAGAAGTCTGCTAGGAATACGACATGTCTTGCTCCAGCAAAAACAACACTCAATGACTCAAGCTTTAGCTATCAGGTGGAATACCCTTCCCCAATCACTGAATTAGCAGTAAATTTACCAGTAGATTTGGTTATTGTGAAAGTCAAAAGTATCATCCATTCATTTCAACTAGCCAGAAAACCCTTCCTCTAGAATGAACCTGATGTCATTCCACATGTTTGACCAGGTATGAGCATACCAAAAGAAAATTCTACACCGACCTTATGCAAAATTAGCAAAATTAAAGTGTGCTATGTCTTTGAGTTATTCTTAACATGACTCCCAAACAATTTTCATGGAAACAAAGAATCTTCGATATCAGATACTTTCAATTAGAGAGTATGATGACCCTGAAACATGTCCACTAAACTCATCACATGCTTGCTCAGTAAACTTCCTGGCAACACTGTTTATGGTGTTAATGTGACAAGCTTGATGATAATGTTGATTCCCTGACTACGTACTTTACTCTTCACTTTTTGTACTTTCATGTCATCTAGTGCTCCTCACAAGACCAAGACATGTGATCCCAAGCATATTGAGATATTTCTCCACGTACAGATGTACTAGTTGTTGATTTGCTAGGAAGTTTACAGCCAGCAAAGTAACATGCTCTGTCTGTTGTTCTATGCCTCATAAGCACAAGATACTTCCTTTTCTTCCTTACCGTCATGTGACCATTGCGTCATCCAACTATTTAGTCCCACTGGACTGCATTCCTGCACTAGTTCATGCCTGTGTTTGATAATACTGGCTGCACCCACTCACTCAGTCACCTGCTGAAACATACACTAACTTGGTTGCTGAATACATGGAACCTCAATATCTCTGTCTGCTATCCATAGTGGGAGACACAAAGTATCATATCTGAGAGATCAGTTGTGTGCACAAACCTATAGGGGAAGGAAAAAGGAGCCTCCAAACAGTTCAGATCCTTGAGTACCATCAAGTATGAAACTGGTCTGTCAATCATCACGCAGGCCAGCCTTTTCTCAGTGGCGCTCACTCTCACTACTTTTCGTGCAGCTGCTAATTTCTAAATCTTATGATCTGTGATTGCAGCTGCGCGCGTGCTCTGCTCGCACGGTATGCATGAGCGGGCATAGAACAAGAGAGAAATGCCATGCATGAATGGTGGTCAAAAATGTCAAAGCCAACTTTGACACTACCACTCCACAGATTGATTGTGCATTGTTATATCCCTTGTTCATGATAGCAGAGCCACTAGCTTGTAGGGTGTTAACAAATTGAATATGGCTAGATTTTTGGTGGTGCTGAGTTATTACATATGACAAATTTGTCTAGTCTGGATGTCCGAACCTTTCTAAAAAATTATGGCAAATCTCTCTAATATTCGTGTCTGAATCTGGCCAGGTGGGCCATGTACTTGGTTCCTTCACCTTAATCCTAATCAAATGGAATAGTAGGCTAATAATCTTATCACTCAGTACATCTCTCTTGGTCTGAAGTTACACCTGAACTAGTCACTGCTTCCATCTTTCTCCAGACTGCAGATGCCACGCCAAACCGGTGCAGCACTGCCTCGGCATATCGAGCTGCACATATTTTGCAATTTATTATGAACAACAAACATTTGCTGAACCCAGACAAGATCTGCGCAAGACTTGAGAATATATCGCACTAAAACTAGAAAAAACCACATGTGCTGGGAGCAGGAAAATAGTCCTTGGAAGGAAGCAAGCTCACCAGCTCATCATCATCGTCATGTGCTGTGTGAAGTAAAGTATATCAAACTGCCTGCCTTGACACTGCAGTCAAGTGGCCCCGATCAATAGCTGGGGTACCAACACCAATGTATCTGTCTATCAACCAAAGTATCAGCGTCCACTTGGCAGGATGAAGACATAATAGTTTGACACTAATTGACAGCCCTGTCAGTTGACCTTGAGCATGAGTGCGGCTGCTTTGCAGAGCTTTTGTTCAGTTGCGTTTGGATCGGATCCTCATAAGCAAAAAAGAGGTGCTGTTTGCATGGCTCAGATGAGATGCTGCGTGAAGAAAAGTACGTGCCCATGTTACTCTGCATTATCCACGGACAGTTAGTACTAACTGGGTTTACCTATGTCTATGTGGTCGGTCTCAGGGTCTGGGCAGGTCGGCCAGATGCATGCAAAGATGCCGGTCAGCAGAGATTTTCAGAAAAACACACATACAGCTGGTCAGGAATGGTAGTACCTATATTACTGCTGGCTGCGAATTTACCTGTGACCACACCTCGATCAACATTTAGTTGTAGGATCACCTAATACTCATGGATCAGTCGAGCAGCGGTATATACCAA